TGGTGCCTGTATTTTCCTTGCTCTCACTAACAAAGCTCATGGTATAATCATCAAACTGCAAACATGTGGATGAAAATTCCTTTTGGCGAGTGTAGACTAATGCTCTAGAATGCACCTTCCTGGCTGAATTTGTCTTGTTGACTGCTTGCTAGGCAGAGTTTTTAAAAACCTTCAGACTGTCAGCCAAACCCTCCCTCCCGGCTCGACTGCCACCTGTTTGCCTGTGTGTAAAACTGGATTCTTCCTCTCCCACATCTTTTGCTGTCCAGTGGCTGTGTGGCCACTCTACGAGGCAAGATAGCCGTCCTGGAGCCAGGCTCCAGGGACCCCCTCGCGTCTTCCTCGTTTGATTGGCCATGGCCCAAAAAGAAACTATGCAGAAGGAAAAATGAATAGGGAGAGCGAGAAGAAGCCCCCACCTTTACAAATCTTAAAATTAAGTTTCCATTTCCATGCCATAAATAGTGGTTTGTTGCAACCAATGAAAGCACTTCTGTTAAGTGAAACTCTGGGTAAGAAAGTTGTTTCTTGCAAAGCAATAACCCTTAACAATATTATTACTGTGAGGAAATGTGGTTTTTCCACTCCATGTTTATCTGGTTAGCAGATCTGCTGTGCAAAGCCGTCTTGCATTGCCTGCTATGGCATTTGATAGGAGATGTGTGAGCAGCACTGCTTCGATGGCTGAGCCTCAGGGAGTTGGTGTTTGTGATTACGGTACATTGCAAAGAACTGTTGACACGGAAGCCTGCCCTTGCCTTGTCAGAGGAAAATGTGGCCGACACATCCTGCAGAGCTGGTAGTGATTTATTCGAAGATCTAAGCATTAGCACCGCTTCCGCAATGTTTAAAGAAAAAAGGGCCAGTGATTTCTTTTATTCTTTGAGACAATTTAGATACCACAAATGTCCACAATTTATACATCCAGGGAGTGGGGAAACTGGATTCCATTGGCCTCTTTGAAACCATACAGCTTCAGTGATGGGTGGGTGGGTGGGTGTGATTACAGCAAAATCTGGATTGGAATTCTTGCTCACCGGGAGCTTTCAACATTGGGAGCAATTCAATCGTGCGATTCTTGCACGTGTGTTTTGAAATCATACATGTGGCCAAGGGCTGTACTCGGAAGGGTTCCTCCTATGCCTGTCTTCCACAGTGGAGGTTACGAAGAAAGCACTGGGAGAGGCACAGTTTTTTCTTTCCATTGTGCACACAATCGCAGCCCGCTCTTGAGGAGGGCCGTGGAGATGCCCAGAGAACAGAGGTGCTGCTCCTGGAGACAGCCCCCTTCACGCAGACTAAGAAACCAGTATAAGCTGCGTTTCAGTGCTGCATTTTTGCATTTGGTACCACAAAGCCTGCACTGGCTGAAAGTTTCTTGGAGTCAAAAGCAAAGTCCCTTTACTGAAAACAAGCACGTAACTGCCCAGCCGGCCAGGTGTCTTTTTTCAAAAAAATAGTATTTATTTAAGTCGTAATTGTAAAAAAAAATTGCAATTGCACGTTGAAAGATAGCAACCCGAAGGGCGCCACAGAACATCATGTTCATGCAATAGAGAAGAAATAACAAGGCTGCATGAGGGATCGGCACCCTTCCGAAGCTTGTTACACTCTTTAAAAAATGAAAAACAGCCAATCCGTTATACAAATATGATGATTCGCAGTTGCAAGAGAAGCGGAATTTGTCCAAACCATGATTGAAGAAGTATATATAACTCCGTATTTCATTTATAAAAACAAAACACATTTATGGTTATAGTTCAGATTGAAACTAAACCCAAAGCAACCAACTGCAGGATGATCGTATCAAAACTAACCTCTGCATATGACTGTTAACTTTACAAAGCCGTGCAGAACCCTTCCTGCTTGCTCATCAATGCCTTCTTTGCAGCTGATAAAAACAGTTTTGGAGTTTTCCCGTATGTAAGGGGGGAAAAGCTCCAATGATTCTCACAGGCAGTGATGTGGGCAGTGTTAAACTCCCTGAAGAGCGAGGCCGAAAAGCCGCTCTTTTCACAGGTGCAGGTTATGGCAGGTGTGATCCAACTTGCACTGGCTGAATGGGTTAAACAGCGGCGCCGTCTCCCTGCCCTGCATCCCGGTCATCCCAGTCTGCCTGTTAGGTGGATGCGGTTTAGAATCAGCCTTCCCCACGACTGCGTGTGCGTGTGTTTCAGGGCTCTCCTTGACCACGTCCTCCGCCTGCCCCAAAGCTCTGTGCACGAGCGGCTGAACCGGGCTCCGTCTCTTGCCCTGAAAGCCCCCATGAAGCTCGGTGAACCATGCGGTGGTCGCTGAAGCCCCCTGGGAAGGCCCTGCTGTCGTCAAGCCGCTCGGAGCTACGGGTGGCCGCCTCCTAGAGGGGGGTGTGATGGACCCTTCCGGCAGCACAAAAGGATTTGCACGGGGCAGCTGGATGGGCTGGGAGCTGCTGCCGGCATGAGCGTCGTTTCCCAGAGGGAAGCTGAAAGCACGGCGCACCTCGGCTCTCTGCCCTCGACACCCAAGCGAGCTGGGAGAGGTCAGCATGAGAAGGAAGATCAGTCTCTTGATCTCTGGGTCCCACCAGAGTCCCTGCACATAAAAATACCGTGTGGAGGGGAACGAATCGGTCGCTCCAATGAGCAAGGTGTCCCAAGAGGTATATAGCGCGATTCGGGTGCGTGCAGGAGCCGCAGTGTTCAGCTGCTTTGTCAGACGCCCCAGACAGTCCTCGGGCTCCTGAGAAACCTCCCCTAAAGAGAAGGCTGCTTTGTGCAACCAGATGTGTTTTGGCCAGGCTATTTCTGATTTTCTAGAAAGTCTTCTCTTCTTGTGTCTTTTAAAATGCCCCATATGGCATTTTACAGACGAGGGCCTTTGGTAGTGAGATGTAAACAAACCTTGTCAGGCAACGGCGGCACCTTAAACGCCAAACCATTTCCCATAAATAGCCTGCCAATGCGGCGTGGCAGAGCGGAGGCTTCCCTGAAGACGGGCTACGTAGCACGGTTAAGGCCGTGAGCCGGGAACCGACAGCCGGTCATCCACGGCATGGGAGGACAGCCTCGGGGTGACCAGACAGGGACGGGTAACCAAAATGGAGCCCCTTTTTTCCCTTTTCAGCTGAAACGTTTTTTTCTTTTCACTCAACTTGCATTCAGTGCTCCTGAGATCAAATAACCTGGAAACAGAGAAAATTCCTTATGCCAAGATTTCCCAAGTCGATGCTTGCCAAATGAATTGGCCGACACTTCCCGGCAATTCCCTGGGGAATACCGGGATCTGTAGTCCTCCTGTTCACTTGCAGGCAAATTTGATTGATTAAGGATCCAATCCCATGCAAGTTTAACTGATTAAGAACAATTTAAAAAGGCCTGCTGTGCTTGGTCTACACTTGCAAGGGACCTGTGGGTCAGCCGATTTAATGTGTGTGAGATCAGCGAACCCAAGTCTGATGAACTGACAAAGGCCCAACTCAACTGAGTGAAAAGTCGCAGTCTAAGACCGGTGGTCACAAGCGCTGGAGCCGCACAAGACAATAAAGGCACGGAGCTCCTGGGCCATCCCTGAACCGTGCTTTAAGGCACCAGAAGCAGGCCAGGGGAGCCCCCCAAAAGCTCCCCTGGCACGCGCCCCCTCCCCCCGCAGGTTGTTCCTGTGATTAAGGCTTGCGCCACCTCAGTGCCTGAAGTGATTCCCTGGCTATGGGGTGGGGGGGCACGAGGGCTGAACAGAGCGGGAATAAGCAGCAACTAGAACTGAGACCGATTTCCTGGGGAATTTTCCCAGGGTTCAAAATGAGCTTCCATCTTTCCTGTGGCACCAACCATGTCAACTGTTTGTCCAGCATCTCAGCCAGGAGCTCCACAGCTCAGGTGTCTAAATGACCACGGCTCCTCTATGGAAAGCAAATACCTGCTGTGGGTAACCAGGTGAGAAATGCTGTTTTGGGAGGGGCGGTCTTTCCTCTCACGCCACCGGCATGCCAGCACAGGCAGGTGGGCTGCTCAGCATCTCTCTGAGGACTAAGGACCTCTGTGAATTTATTTGCCAGGCCCCTTCCAATGTGCCAGGGTGGTCAGCCTGGTGTTTTAAAAGGTCTCCGTTTACGGAAGGATGAAGCCCATCTTGAAGCAAGGCCTCTTCACATCTGTCGACGGGTCTTGATTTAGCCACTGGGGGTCAGTGGTGGAAGAGGGACGGGAACAACCATGAGCTGTTGAAATGCTAAAAAACTAAAGCAGATCCTGTTCTAATAAAATACACTGTAATAAAAAAAGGGCTGGCCCAAGATTACTAAGTTACAGTACAATCGCAGGCGCGTTTAGTCAAGTGCCACTGAATTCCACGGAGCCCATTCCCTGCTCCTGGGCAGGGGAGTGCCCCCTGAATGTCTTTAGCGTGCTTTTGTACCATCGAGAAAAAATTGTTTTCTCCTTTGGTTTGGTATTTCCCATGCTAGTCACCAGCTGGGATCCAAAGAGCTACTTCGGCGCACCGGAAAGCTTGCAAAATCGCTGGCTTTCCAGTGGTGGGGCTATTTTCCTTTAGGCAAGCGCCCCCTGGCCGTCGCCTCTTCCCAACGCTGTTGCACCAATTCGGGGGGACCCCCATTTCCGAAGTGGGCAGACAGAGGCCGAGTTTCACGTGGAGTGCTGTTCTCTGAATCCTGGCTGCCAGCAAAAGACACGAGGGCCAAAACACGGCAACGCCGTGAAACGAAAGGCATCTCACGGCTCATAAAAGCCCACTGGATGCCATGGTCCTGGTGGCATCTCTGCCCTCTCCATCTTTCACGGAGCCTCGGTGCCTGAGGTTGCAGGAAAACGCAAGTGCTGCATATATTTCCGGACATTGCATCGAAGGAGTGCTTCTATTGCTGGCTACAGCAGGTCGCTTGCCCTGCTGGTTTACCTGAGTTGGCCTTCCCCTCTGACCGAGCCCAAGGGCAGCGACGGAGCTCTGCCCTTCGGCCACCGGCCGCCCCCCTCCCCCGCCCCCCCGCCAAGACCCCTCTCAGTCCGAGGCCAGGGCCCGCGCGTGCGGCTGGACGGCGAATCACCCCGCGGTGGCGCCCCCCCTCTCTGTGGCGCTTGGATGCTCGCTGCGGCTCGAGGAGGTGGCGCGGCTTGTCTTTGGTTAGCTTTCCTCAGCTTTCTTGCTGAGCTTGTTCACCGCCTCGGTGGCTTGCTCCGGCAGGCGCAGCGGGTCGGAGAGGATGGAGGTGGTGATGCTGAAGTGCCGGAGGGTGCTCAGTACCACTGGAACAGAGGAACGAGGAGGGCAAGGGACCTGGGTCACTGCACCCGCCAGGAGCCCGAGGCGGCATCCCAGCAGGGACAAGCTCTCGGGTCCTTAGAACGACCCACGGGGGGAAAGGTCCTTTCCACAGGCTAAGAGACAGTCAACTCCTGAGCCCCCTTAATCAAGTCTCTGCCCTGGTCCCCAGCCACACTTCGTGCGGCTAATCGCATCTGAACAGCTATTCCAGAACGGCAGCTTGTGATTTTTCGGGCCTTTCACTGGCCTGTCCTCACTAGCTCTGGGAATGCAGCCGCACCTGTGCCTCCCACTGGATCCCAGAACTCGAACTGTTTTCAAAAGTCATGCCCACCAGATCCTGGAATTAAATCCCTCAAATTCCCATTTCACTGCCGATGTATGAGGGGATGCCTCAAGACACAATCGGATGGGCATTTCCTCCGAGAAAAGGCCTGCGCCACCAGACGGGCCCAGCCTGGCCTTTCCTCTAGGGACACACACAGGACTGCGCCCCGAGTCAGGGCTGCTCAACTGGCATTTCGCTTGCAGATGCATCCGGTGACAAGAGCAGCCAGCTCCCACAATGTATGCCAGATTGCAGAGTTCAAGCTGACCCTACCCTAGGCAGATCCCTGATCGAGATTCCTCTGAGAATTAAGCTGCACTAGGCTGTCCTGCGAGGAAAGCTGTGTCTCTTGAGAGGAAATCTCTCTTAACATACACAGGGCCTTATCTCAAGTCTTTCGATGGGTCCGGCTTCCCTTCTCGCGCCCTTTCGCACAGCCGGCATTTGCCCCCCGAAACCACCCGCTGCTTACTTGGCCGGAGGACTGGCAAGGAGCAGTGCTGGTCCACCCATGCCAGTGCCGTCTGGTGCAGCTCCTCGAAGCTTGTGGTGGACACCATCCCATTGAATGTTTCGAACAAGGGGTTGATGAGGATGCTGAACTGCACAAGGGTCGCGAGTCAAGGAAAAGAGCAAACACGGACAGGGATCTGGCAGGGATGCCAACGGCAGAGTGTAAGGCCGTGTCGGGCACCCAGGAAAAGGGAGCAGTGGATGCAGCGTTTTGAGAAAGGGGGTTCTTTAGCGACACCAAAGCCTTCTGTGTTTTCGGGACATTCTGCAAAATCAAGACCCGGGGTGCCCCCCCCCACACACCGCAAGGCCATTCTCAGGCAGAGCACAGAGAGGTTTTTCCCCCGTGGGACTTCTGAGCAAGTCCCGACTCAGCTGCCCAACTGGCCAGCACCAGCCCACTGTGGCAAGCCACGGAATTACACAGGTGCCGGCTCAGAGAAGCCGCCCAGTGCCAGCCAATCCTCCACAAAGCGCATGTTGCCAGCTCCTCACTCACACAGGCTGAGCCAGCACGCGGAACACGACACCAGCAAGGCCCTGAAGCAGAGCGAGCGAGCGAGCGAGCGAGAGGGGAAAAAAATGCTCCATTCCTGTCAGAGTGGCCTCTGATATATATCACAGGAAATGAGCAGTTGTCGTCTTTGCTGAAGCTTGGCAAACCCGTCCCATCTCTCCGCCGTCTCGCAAGGCATCAAGGCTTCCGATGAGCTGGTCCTTCCACCGACGCAAAGGAGTCCTGCGGAGCTTTGGAGGGAATTCTAAACCCCAAAGGCACAACGCGTCAGTCTGATCTTTAGAGGGAAAGTTCCAGAGGGCAGAAGCACCCACTTCCAGAACATGTTTCTCTGCAATCGCCCAATCGAGGCACTTCCAGCCTGTGGCCGTTTCCGTTTTGTATTAGGAAAAATCCAAAGCTGCTCCCCAGCCTCTGGAGTACCCCCTGGGAGAAAGCATGGAACGGGGCCCCGAGCCCAGCGCCACGGACTCCTCCAGAAACGGAACGCTTTCCCTCCCCTGCGCACCCACACCAGCAAAGGATACGATCCAGAACTTCCAGTTCTGCAGGGTCCTGCTTCTGACGTACTCCTCAAACATGCTTCGCATCTGATCGAATCTCTGTCGCGTGATGGGGACACCCGTGGCCGGGAGCTGCTGCTGACAAGAACTGAGAGACAAGCACACCGGTCAGAGCATGTTCCTCCCACTGACGGGCCACAGGGAAGGAGCAAACCGAAGCCACGGAGGGCTGCGGCTGCTGCAAGTCAAGATGCCACAGAGAGATGGTTCACCTCTCATGCGCACGAGGCCTTTCAGCCTGCCCGAGCCGTCCCTGGCAATCCCGGATCCTGGACGAGGTCCTGCACAGGGCGGCGGCCAAGCAGGTGGCGCTTCTTTTCCTGGTGAAACTCCCAGAATGCTTCCCCTGACATTGAGCGTTTCACTGTATGACCGCTGGGTGTTCCAGAGGGCCGCCTGGTGTTTGTGTGCCAGATGTTTTGGGACTGCAACTGGCTGGGCATGACGGGATTTGCAGCCAAACACACCTGGGGGGCACAGGCTGGGGAAGGCCAGTCCGGGAGCAGCAGTGTTTGTCTGGCGAGGGATTCCTGGGCGAGGATGCCCTGGGACTCCATCGGTGAACGTTTTAAAAGGACCGGAAGGCAGCTAGTTCCGGCAAGGGCAGCATGCTGGGCTTGGCAGGCCTTTGCTCTGAACCAAGATGGGAGCACGTGCCACTACCCATAATGCCACACACACGCATCCTACTGTGATGTACTGAGGCCTGGTCAAACGCCTACACAAACACGGCTGCTGGGACTCTGTGCAGGCCCCGAAATCGTGGCTTCTTATCCTTCTGTCTGGCTTTGATGACCAGCAGCTGTTGGGCTGACAATGTGCTAGACAGAGGCCGGGGGACTTTCCGCTCATCAGGGGAGAAAGCGCGCACGTGTGCGCCCGCAGCTGGCAGAGCGTTTGCCCTCACATGATGGTGGCATTCAGCTCCTCGATTTCCTCCCGGAGGCGCTTGGCTTCCTCTTGCATCTGTGATCTCTCCTGCTGCAGCTTGGCGATGTATTCCACCGTCTTCTGGAGTGTCAAGGCATGGCTGATCTGCAGCAGGCAGAAAAAGGTCTCGGACTCGGCTCAGCAGACTTGAGGGCCAGAGCAGTGGTTATCAGTGTCCGGACAGGACTGGGAGGACCCGGGTCCAAATCTCTGCTCCTTGGGCCTCTCAGTCACTCTCTCAGTCTGATCTACCTTGCAGGGCTGTTATTTGGATGATCAAATTGAGCTCTTTAAGCTGCCTTGGACTCCTCGCAAGAGGAAAAGGGGTGGGATATCAATGCAATGTAAGGTTCATGATAATGGGACAGGGTCCCAGCTAAGAGGACTCACTTGGACCCATTCAAGACCCCGTTTCTTCCTGACGTGTGGCACCACTGAATGCTGCCGCCTTCCCTTGAGAGTCTCCAGAGATCCAGGACTCCCCATTTCAGCCTGGGGGATGCCACCCTGGGCATGCGCAGAGGGAGCAGAAATCCTGGCTGAGAAGTCCCACTGAAAAACTTACTGATTTAGAGTTTGCCGACACCAAGCAGTTGAGGGTGCTAAAGCCGATCTTGATGTTAAACCTCCGCTTCTGTTCTGCTGAAATGTGTTTCATTCGGCGGCTCTGGATCAACATGAATAAAACGTTGGCTCTTTTCAATATTGTCATCATTTCTGCCGTGTAGTCCTGCTCAACAGGGTAACGGGGCCGAGTGATATTCAGGGCGGTTTCACTGCAGTGCCGGGAAAGGCTCTCCCTGCGCCCACCGCATCGGCCCCAACTCCTTGGCACGCAAGGACAAAGAACGAACCCAGCGGCGAAGGCCAGGAGGGAGGCGGCGAGGGACTGGCAAAATAAAAAGAGCAACAGGAGAAAAGGAAAGCCCGGCCTTTGCCAGTCCTAGAACCCAGGCTGAATCCTAAGGGATCCCCCAGCGCCCATGCCTTGCTGCGGCCTTCCACAAACTGGCTGGGGATGCTGGGAGCTGCAACCCAAAACATCTGCAGGGAATCGTCTTGAAGATGACCGCCTTGCCATATGAGGCTCTGCACAATGATCTGAAATCAGCAACCGCCTTGGTTTCTCTCCCCTTTCCCTGCCGTGCCGCCTCCTGGTCTCTTCACAGCAGGGCCTGCTGTCCCTGCACTTCTCTGTGCGCTGCCCATGGCAGCCTCTCCTCCCACACCCTGTTGGGGCCATCCATCCATCAATCGATCTACTGTGAAGGCTCTCCTTTCCACCAAACCTGGTGCCGTCTAGAGGTGGTGGACTCCAAATCCCATCTCCCCCAAGCCGGCGGCAGGGGATGATGGGGGTGCAGCCAACCCCTCCGGAGGGCCCCAGGAACGAAGGGGCAAGCACGAACCTTAACCGTGGTCACCTGAGGATGGGCGGCGGTCTTCCCTGAGCAGCTGCTGTGCGGGGACTGCGGGCTGGGGCTCTGCTCGGAAGGGCACGGCGAGACCTGCCCGGACAGCCGGCTCTCTCGGCCTTCAAAAAGCAGAACAAGGCACAGGCCGTGACTTCAGAGGGATTTTCCACAGCTCGGCGAAAGCACCCCCAGCGGCCCCTCTGCAGAGTCACCCTCTGGGGTCCTAAATGGGGCTTCTGGAACGGAGCTTTCCAGTCTGTGGGAGCGAGCAGGGCAGGCAAGAGAACCCGGCCAGCCGCTGGGAGGTGGGGACTCGGGGCGGCTGATCGTCGCAGACCTTCGTCACACCCAAGGCACGGAGTCCGGGGTCGCTTCCGCTCCCGGCATATGCCACTGCCGAAGGGGCACATCACCGTGAGACAAATGCAGCTGCCTTGCTCACCGGGGACAGTCACGGCCGAGCGAGGTGGCAGGATGAAACCCAGGCCAAAGACACAGCCTGCTGAGCAGAACTTTGGGCTCCCTACAGCTCACAGGCGGAGGAGCACCTCCCGAGGCTCTGCAAGTGCCCACACCCGGACCTCTTCGGCGAACCCTTCAATGCATCAGGTGACGCCTCCAAGATCCGCCGTTCCCTCCGCCTCCGACTTACCGGGCGCAGGCGAGAGGCCCTGAGAGGAGGGGCTGTGGGCCGAGGCCTGTTTGCCCTTCTCCAGCGCTTCCTGGATCGCACTGGGGGAAAACAGGTGAGGCAGTGCAGCGGGGACTGGCTGGGGGCTTGGACACTGCTGGCCGGGGCTGAGCAGGATCCTGCTGTGGAACTCTGCCGCGTGGGGCGCCTGGGGACGAGAGGCAGGGTCAGAAACGCGAGGCCGGTGTGGGTGCCTGCGGCCAGGATCGAGAGCCCGCCCGCCTCCGCTCCCGAGCCCCAGAGAAGAGTCGTTTCTTACTCGGGCCATTGTAGACGGCGCAATCACCACACTGGGCTGAGAGATCCTCGGGGCCAGCACTCCGTCCCGTTTCAGTGGTGCTGGAGTCACGATCACAGCTCCGGCCTGCCCCTGAAAGGCTGCTGGAAAGGACAGAAGGTGGAACCAAGAGTACAAGGAACGAGCGCGCCACGGGAGGAGGCGGTTTCCATGGCGCGAGCCCAGCACCTGAAATGTACTGCAACAAAGGCTGCGTTGCTTGCATGCTTTCACACGTGTTTACACAGAAGGTGGCATCTGCTTCGTGCCGCAAAACAAGGATTCTGGGCCTTTGCGTTCTGCGTGGTCATTTGGCAGAAGGGGAACCGGCTCTGCAAAGCACAGAAAGTGGGATTCCGGCCTTGGTGTGATGGCACTGAGATGCGGACCAGCCAGAGAGCCGCAGGCCAGGTCTGTCCCGTTCCAGATGAAGCTGTGTGTTTCCTGGCCATAAGCGGCACGGTAGGACTTGACCCACATTTACAGATGCTGACCTCTTTTGCCAATTCGCCACTGCCTGCTTGACTGGGGGAACAAACTCTGGGGGGCTTTCCAGATTTGGCTTCGTATGGTCTGAAAGCATGGACAGGCTGAACAATACCTCAGAGTTTTATTTTTGCTCAGGAACGCTTGATGCTGAAGCCAAGTAGCTTTCTGTTCGTGCCCCCTGACCTCCAAATTAATTTTGGAGAAGAGAGGGGCCACGTGGACGGGCTCAGCGAAGCAAGCGGTCCTGCAGAGAAGGCTAATTTCTTATGTTTGTTCCTTTCCACTGGGCTCAGGGTTTCAGGGCCATTCAATAATTAAACTTGGGAATACTTGAGAACCAGGTCAAGAGGTGTCAGGTTGCAGGTAGGAGAAGAGAGCTGCAGCCTGCGAGAGCTGCTTGCTCGGAGCTGCTGAATAATGGAAGCCCCATGCTCCCTTCGGACGAGGGCTCCGTCAGGCAATCGCTCTGCCTCGCTGACTGAATTTTACAAAAGGGACCGGCAATGTCGCCTTCCATTCAGAGCCCTCCTGAATGTTTTGCCACCGCGTCTTCCATCGTTTTTCACTGCAGAACACCCACGAAGATGAGAAGATGGAGCTGTGTGCAGGCCGGGGGCGGGAGGAGCGGTGCTGCGGCCTGGGCAACTCCGTGGGCCACCCTGTTCTAATGCTCCTGAACTCCTCGAAAGCAGGATATTTGGAGGCCTGGGTTTCCGGGTTCGGTATCAGGAGTCCGGCTTTTGCCCATACCTGCCACGTGCCTGTCGCACGCAGAACAGAGAGACCCCCAGACCCCCGGCCAGAGACGCAGCGCCACCCTTGTGTGGAGCCCCCGCGTGCCTCCTCAGCCGCCGCGCACCCACCCCCCCGGGCACCCGCAGGAGCGCTCACCTGGGCTGATGTAGGCGTTCTTCAACACCAAGGAGACCGTCTCGGGCTTTGGAGCAGGCACTATTTTTTGCGGCTTCTTGGGCCTCGTCGTGGGGCTGGCCGCCGGCAGCATGAAGGGAGGCTGCGGGTGCAGCTGCGCCACGGGGGTCTGGAGCGACAGGCTGCAGGGCACCCCCCCTCGCGCAGGCTGCTGGTTGGCGAGGAGGCCGGCCTGGTTGTGGCTGAAGGTGGTGGCAGAGACGTTCTGCGTCGGCGTGGAGGAGGCCGTGTGGGTGATCACCAGGGACTTGCAGAGCTCGAACACGGGCCCCGGCGAGGCCAGGCCGGCGCTCATGGGCTGCAGGGCCTGCTGGGGCGGCAGGGGAGCGACGTCCCGCGGGAGGAGCGATGGTGCCGGGAGCGGAGGCAGGAACTGCGGCTGGCCGCTCAGGGGTGGCTCGGAGCTGAAGCCAGGGGGCAGCAGCAAGGCGTCCCGGCTGCTGAGGTCGAGGCAGGCGTCTCCCCCAATGTCTGCCAAATTGGAGATGATGGGGGCAGGCACCGGCGTGGCGACAAGCCCCTCGCCGAGGTTCACCGGCGGGAGCGTGTTGGGTAAAGGACCCAAGGAGAGGCCCGGGGCCTGCAAAGAGAGAGAGAGGGCTCATGACACGCGGACTGACGTCACCTGAGGGAAGCCGCTCGTTCACAAGTCCAGAGTTGGGAGAGCAAAACAGGCTCCAAGAGCAGATGCCGGGCAGAATCGCCCAGCCTAATGAACAGCCCGTACCGAAGCCGCTCGCTTCAATCCCCCTCGGCCCCTTCTTTAACATTCAGACGCAGCCCTGTTAGTTGCTGCCCTCAGCTTGGTGGAGAGGGCAGAGGCTCCAGTCAGAGCAGGGAAAGCTGGGTTTCAAGCCCGGCCTGACAAGGAAGCTCACCTGCTGACCCTGGAGCCCAGCAGCTCCCAGCCTAACCTACCTGACAAGGTTTTTCTGTGGACAGAATGGGGGTGAGTGGAGAGACCATGCATGTCAAACTGACCCATTTGGAAAATGGGTGAGGCAAATATTTAACTAAGAAAGAAATAACTCGTGGCATATTGAGTAGCTGGAAGGAAACACACACCTCTAACTTTTTCACGTTACAAAAATGCCCTTGCCTCATCACCTGGAGACCTTTGTGAGCTGCAGGCCCTTCCCCATCTCACCTGGGAGGAGTGCGTGCAAGTGCCTGCCAGAGCAGAATTGGAGGGAGGAGTGATGCTGGCGGAGAATCCAGCGGTGGATCGATTGTTCGAGAAAATATCTGTGCAAAGAGGGAAGAAGGCAGGCGGTCTTCACATTACACTTTCCTCTGGATGCTCGTACTCCTTGCATGCCGAGGGTGGGAGTCCACTGGATTCCCTGGACTCGGCTCCCCGCACTCCCGTTCGCTCTGCAGCAGTTGGAGTCCCTGGCAAGGGTGCCCAGCGCTCTCCAGGAACGGTGCTGTGCAAGCAGCAACCCTCTTCTGCATCCCCTGAAGAAGCCCAAAAGGCCACTGGATTTTACAGTTTTGACTCTTGTCGTATTGCTCGTGGTTTTATGCTGATTGTTCATTCCTTCGCTGTGAGCTGCCCAGACAGCCTCTGGGCTACAGGGCAACATACAAATGTCATTCATTCATTCACTTGTTAACAAAGGAGAGAAGCCACTGCCTCACATTTTCAAGAGTGCACAAGGCATTTTGGGGAGCTTTCATGCACAGGGTTGCTTTGTCCTGGAGAGACCTGATGGCTCTTAAGGACACGGAGCCGGTGCAGGGGCCGCCCGGCTGGGAAGTGTCAGGCACTCTGAGCAACCGGCCCTCTTGGATGCGGCTGGAAGGTCGGCAGGAACATAATAAAGGCTTTGAGCTGGGAAGCCATTGTCCCGCTCTGTTTAGAAGAAGGTGGGGGAGAAAGGCCAGGGCCCGCAATACTCCCAATTCGTACCTTGAAAAAACTCAAAACTATCCATGCAGTTTGGCTGGAGAGGGCAGAGTCCTGGCTGAATCATGTCGGCATTTCCCAGGTGCTCTGGAAAAAATTAACGGCAAAGAAAGAATCACGGAATTGCAAGGGAACTTGGAATCTCCTCGCCAACCCCCGAGACCTCAGAGAAGCCCAAGCAGGGAGCACCGTAGTTCCTCAGATGAAACACTGGAGTCTCTTGCCCAGTGTGGAGAAAGCAGCCCGTCAGGCAAGCCTCCAGATTTGGAAACTAGCCGTTTTATTTCCAGTTCCTTGCCTAAACATGCCAACCGTAGGGTTTGCCTTTTTCGCAGCAACCACACAGTGAGTTGGCTTTTTCCTCACACTGCCCACCAGCCCCTTAAGACCCCTTTCCTTGCCAGTTCCTGCCAGCTCATACCTGAAGCTGCTGTTTTTGGCCCGACATGCGTTACTTTGCACTTTTAGTCTGCCATGCCATAAGCACGGCTGCTTTGCTTGGCTGCTGGGGCGACTCGGCTCGCGGGCCGACAGAGGATGCTCCGCGGGCCCGCTGTGGCACGCGTGCCATAGGTTTGCCACCACTGCCCTAGGAGTAATCCCACCCCAATTCTAGCAGCCAATGGGAAACACAGGCAAGGTTTTCTTGACTAATAGAAAAACAGAGGGCAAAAGAAGCACCGAGACATCCCTTCTGGCAGAAAACACAGAATGCGGCAAGGCCGTACCTGTCGCTCTGGGGTTTGTCCAGGGGGTGGGCTGGTGAGAAGACAATGTGGAGAAGAGGGTGTCTGGCAGCTCGGACATAAACATGTCTGTGCTGAAAAAGGAGTCCAGTTCCATCGGGGTCTCCCTGCCGCACATCCCTGGACGCCAGTGGTGCATGTCGTCATCCTGGAGAGGAGGAAGAGAAAACGCTGGACACAAGGGCCTGGCGCTGCCCCCAGCTTAGGCGGGGGCCCAGCTCCGTGACCCTCTTGCAGTCCCTGTGGTAATCGTGGCCCCATGTCTCGTGTACGAGGTTGGCACCTGTGCCACAATAGACAAACCAGAGGCTAACACAAAACCTACCTGGACCAAGCTGGAAAGGTCCTCATCTCGATGTTTCTGTAACTGTGGAAAAGAAGGACAAAGAGCGATGTTAAAACATGGTTCCAGAGTTATCAGAATCTGATGCTCTCATTTAAGTGAAAACATTTTGGTAGGATGAAGCAAGAGATTTTCTGATTTATAATTCCCACACTCAGGCAGGGGCTCTTTGCAAGGCACCACTAGGCACAAAACTGAACAGGGATTTTCTTCCCCCCTGTGAATGTGTTTGAAATGTGATTTTTTTAATTGATTTGCTTTAAGTGGTCTGGTTATATTTTAATTAGGTAACTTTTTTGTCTGTATTCTATTCTGGTAAACTAGCTTGATCACTCTTTTTAATGGAAAGGCAAGTGTAAATAAAATAAATATATAAACAAACATTTATTCTACTCTATCCTAATTTAAACGAATGGAATTGAGTCCCCGAGTCCTTACTTTCAGAAGGCCCGTCACTGGTCTTCTATTTTTACCTAAAATATCAATTATAAACCAAGCATACCCGTTTTTTGAAGTAGGTTCTCCACTTGTGATACTCTCGGATAACTATTTCTATCCGCCATTTCCAATACTTCCCATCTGTTGCAATAGCCTAAGGAAAAATGAAGTAAAAATAGGTGGAGGGACAAGGGGGAAAAAGCACGCAGGCCAGGTAACACTGTGAAAAGGAAGCAGAGCTGAAAATCCTTCCCAGCTGAGAATTTCCTGGCCCCGTTCAGACACAGCAGGAAGACACGGCTCATGAAGGGGCGGCTTATGTCTCCGGCCCCCGTGACTCCCCCACCCCCCTTCCACAGCTGCAAGGAAACCAGGCGCATCCTCTTCCATAATGACAGTTCCCTGAGATGACCAAAACTGCCTCCTACTTAACTATGGTTTAATGAGAACAAGCCAGGATGTGAAAGTGTTGGCTTGTTCAGAAGCAGAAGCAGACACTCCCGCCGCATCCTCTTTGCAAGCGGGGGCGCTTCTGGATGGGGATTTCCTGGCACTGTCTGGCTTGCCTTGCTCTCCTTTCTGGTTCTTCTGCCGTAAGACAGAGGCTGGGAGGAGTGGCCAGAACATGTGGGAGGGGGTGGTTTACAAAAAGGGGATGGGCAAGAGCCCACCCCAGCATTGCAGCTGGCTGGGGCCTCCTCATTCTCACCACCTCCTGGAAGCCTTGAGGAAAATGCCCTCCAAGAGCGTAGAGCCAGGGCAGGCCACCCTTCCCCCATCAGCTGCCCTCCAGATGTTTTGGACTTCAACTCAGGAATATGGAGAGACGCTGTCCAGAACATCTGGAGGGGACCAGACTGGGGAAGGCTGGACCACGATCTGGCTGCCAAGGGTGCCACGTCTCATGTTCAGGCGTGCTCACGTGCAGAGACGTGACCGGGAAGAGGCCTGGTGGGAGGTCCCTTCGCACCTCCCTCCTCTTCTGGCACTTGCAGTGCAATCTATTTTTAAGCTCCCCCGTTAAGAGGCTGCTGGGTTTTCCATTCTAGACAGGGAAGAGAGGAACAGCACCGAAATGCAGGCTAGCAAAAACCCCCTGCGGGCCAGTGAGTGTTGTGAGCATGTTCACAAGGCCACCGGAGGCCACGGCTACCGTATCGTGATGATAATCCCAGAGAAGCAAAGGAGGAGCAGAGGATTTGATGCCGCTCCGTTGGACACAACGCAAACGAAGCCAGCCCGAGTACAAGGGGCGCCTTCCTGGCTGCAGGTGCTCTTTACTCTGGCGTACCTCAGGACGCCGGTGCTCATCCACCTCCACGGAACCATCCAGGGGAGTCACGAAGTGGCACACGGGGTTCTTCCGCTTCTCCAGATCTGCAGCGAGAGCAGGAACACGAGTCATGCCTCCTTCTGAGAGAGGGAGTACACAGCGCTGCTAAGCAAGCAAGCAAGCAAGCCACAGAGCAGGACCGGAGGAGCTGCTTAACTGAAGCACAGTCTAAGTTTCTGTACAAGCGTCTGGAAAACACCAAGCCCTTCTCGAGAATGTGGCTCATGGAGCAGAGTTCTGCTACTGTGGGTGCCAGAAATTCACCTGGAAACCTTCAGACCTTCTCCACTCAGGAATGCACCCTTATTCCCCACTTTCAACCATCCCATCTGTGCCAAAATAAAAAGTGGGCCCTGGACTTGAACATTTCTGAAGCAGACAGAAGTGAAGGAATGGACCCGAAAGATGCTGCACTGGTCTGAACGGAGAATCCCTGGGCACAGAAATGAATAACTGGACCATGGAAAAGTCGTGTGTTCCAAGAAATCGCTGGGCTTTTTTCAGTCTCAGCCACTGACTTTTATTTTACAAGGCACACCTTGCCCTGTAAGTATTTGATCAAAAGCAACTTACAATTATGTTAAAACACGACAGCAGCAGAAGCGCCAAAGGCAACAAACTACCCCAGAGAAGGGAGCGAGCGAGGGAAGGAGGGGATGGCTAAACTGCACCCCGAGCAGGACCCTCCCGGGGCTCCAAACGAGAGCAAACTAGCGGCACATTGAGGCAATTCCCTGGGGCTCTGCTGCACTGGGGGTCACAGGAGTGTGGGCGGGGATGCTGGTGGGCCGTCAGTCGCTCAAGACGGGGCCATTTGAGTGGTGGCACCCAAATCAAATCCTCTGACCCCCACTGGCTTGATCATCAATGGGGCCAGAGGGCAGATTGAGGTGCTGTTCTTTTGGCGCCATTTGTATTGTATTGTAATTTCTACCTTATTTATATGCATATGAGATGGAGTGGTGCCACGAAGGGAGCCACAGACTTGCACTGGCCAGGGCTGGGTGGAGCTCTCAAGGAGGGGCTTGTGCACAGGGCTGCCATGAGCTGCAGGTGACTCGGGGGCACACGACACTTTTAGCTCCGTATTTACACTGCTTGCTGGACGTGCATACGGTGGGCATGTAGCGAGCAGAGCCAGCTGGAGCCGGGGGTCAGACTGGATGGCCCGGGAGACCCCTTCTGACTCGCTCTGTTTCTATGTTTCTATACTGCTCCGTATCTACACTGATTCTGGAGCAGTGAATAGTGTAAGGGCCAAAACAAATAAAGGAATAAAAACAATTTACCAAAAAAACATTTTGAAATGGCTTTCTGGAAGAAGACTGTCTTTAGCAGGTGTCAGAAAGAGCACAGTGTTTGCACCTGCCGGACCTCCCAGGTGGGGAGGTCAGAAATGGGGCCACCATGGGGAAGGCTCTTCTCTCGGTGGACTCCAGTTTGGCCATGAGTCAATCAGGAGAATGTTCCCCCAGGGACCTCTCTGCTTCCTGATCTTATTAAGTTCATAACAACATCAAACTGCTTCTGTGTTTATATAGTCGTTAGACTTGTGGGACCCCAGAAGGCTGCACATACTAAAAGTTAAGGATGAAGAGGCAGGTTGCACGTAGTAAAAGTCAAGAAGGCCACATGCAGGCCACGGTGCAAGTATTTCTACCAGGTGCGTCGAAAACCCGTGTTGCTTACACTGGATGTACCATGCCCTCCAGATGGCATTGTTGAGTCGGATTTTGTCCCTGCATTGGAGTTTCAGGCCTTTGAAATTCTTCCACTTGGGTGAAACCAACTTGCCACTGCAAGAATGCAGAAAAAACTCAGTGTTATAACGTAACAGCAAATGAATAAATGTAATCGCTTTTTCTGAAAGCAAGAAGAGCTGGGGACACCACACAGCAGGCTGACCGTCCCGAAGGCTGACCGGCCCCTCTTTCTAGGCTTTGGTTCTGACCGTGAAGAGGCCCAAGAGCCAAGCTGGTGGAAGCAGCTTGTGAAAGGGAAACCCTTCTGCCCTGGATGCTGAACTAAGCCTATTATTGGCCTTGCTGGGGCGGGGAGAGGAAGGGCCCGCAGAGCAGGTGCGTCTCCTCCGCACGCACCGAACCAGCCCTGAAAAGGCAGTGAGTGCCGTGCCAGCTGCTCGCCTGAAGCCAACACGGCCTGCCCTGGCGAAGCGGCATCCTCCCCGCTCACCACGCCGGCTCTGGCACCCACGCAGGACCTCCGGGGCTTCCGGGGCAGGAGCAGGATGGCCTGCACCTCCGGCCCGGACTGGCCAAGCAGGCAGAGAGGGGCCCTTTGCATCACCCATTCGCAGAGCCTTCTGCAGCCGGATTTTCAGTGGTGGGGGCAAACGTTTCTTACCCAGCTTTCAGTCCAAATACATCCCCAAGGCTGTCTGCATGTTGAAACTTTAAACTATTGCAAGGTGCCGTCCCATCAACCGTGCCCTTGCCATCAGAAATCTCTGCACATGGGGTGCCCATGCGTTCTTGGAGGGGCAACAGGGGTGAACTTTGCCTCCCGGCCCTCTGGTTTTCCACTGGGCGGCCTTTTCAGCCCACGTCGCAAAAAGCACTTGGAAGCCAGCAGGAGGGACCCTGGAAAAGGAGCCGTGTGTCTCATACCCTGGCTCCCCAGTCCCTGAGGAAAGTGCATCCACCCCCTTTCCGCCGCCTCCAGTCGCTTTCGCAACCTCAGAGAGGCAGGCTGCTGGCCGGCCCTGTTCTCTCTGCACCAGCTACAAGCAGGAGAGGGCTGAGGCCGCATGTTCACCTGGGGCGGTTTGGGGCTGTCCGGGGCCTCACAGGAGGCTGCCTGAGAATTTATCCCGGCACTGGAACTGGAGATCTTCTGCTCTGCTATTCCTCCCACAAGGAATGCTGCAAGAGCAGCTCTACCTGCTTGCTGCCATCGGTGGCATGTTCATATCATAAACAAACACTGGCAAGAGGGCAGGGAACGCAAGGCCCTCGGGCAGTTGCTGGACTGCAGTCCCCATCATTTCGCAGGCCTGGCTATGCTGACTAGAGCTGAGGGGAGTTGTAGTCCACACAAACACCTGGAGGGGCACATGCTCCCCCCCCTGCACCTGGGGAGCTCCTCAGAGCAGCAGCGGAGTTTTCTCCGTAACACAACTCACGGTAGCGAGAAAACGTCTGTTTTCCACACCTGCCCTGCGAGACCTTGACATCACTGGGTAAGTCCTCCAGCTGGCCCACGCAGGTCAGGCACCCCCTAACAGCCCAGCACCACTGCCAACTGACGTGGCAAGGTGTGCGCCAGCCCTCTTCTTCGCCCCTGTGGCCGTGTGCCTGAAAGACCGCATGCAGGAGAGAGGTCGACTGCAGAACTACCCAGATCAGAACACAGGCAGTTAAAACAGTCACCTGAAAGTTTATTTCCAGAATGGAAACAACTTCCAGCAGAGGCAGCCACCTGAAAAAGAAGGGTGCTAAGAACTGAGCAGCTTTTCTGACCTCCTGGAGTCCCCTCCCCGTCTTCTGACCAACTACTCCTCTTGGCTCCACTTCTAAGTGAAGCCCCCCATCCCAAGACCAACCCACCTGCTCATCGGCCCTGCTTTTACTCCCCTCCCTTCCCAAGTGACGCTACTCCAACCACCGTGCCATTCCAGCCTCCGCTGTCAATCAGTCCTCCTCTGCTCATTCTTCTTTTGCAAGGTATTATTCATTCCCTAAATAGTCCTGTAACAGCTCACAGTGTCAACCAAGGCCCACGACATACTTAGGTCTAGACAGGGTGGACGTGGCCAGCTGGCTCCCTTTCTTATCTGCCCTTCAGGGTGCGCAGCCAGCTTTACCACCTTATAAACCTTTTGGGCTGAATGGCCGATACCATGCCGGGTTCAAGGGCTTTTTTTAATCCTCGCAACAAGACTTCTCTCTCTCAAGCACGCACACAAGCTTGCCCACCAGAAATACAGGAGGAGGGCTGGGCAGAAAGACTGGCCTCGGTTCCCTGCAGGGGCTCTTTTTCTCTCCGGGCACCTTCTGATGTTACATTCCATTTGAAAACAGCACATGAAGACGCACCAGTGTCTCTGGGGCAAAGAATGTGGGAGATTCATCTTCTTAGATCCCCTGCTGTTTTAATTTTAACTCAAACGGGACAACAATCTTACTTACTGTTCCCCCATTCCAACCTTTCCCTGTGAAGTTGCTGGTTTCCTCAGCAACAATTACATTAAAGAAAACACACTGGTAGGTTCCAGCCCCTGGAATCTCCTGCATCCCACCTGCTTTGATCCCCAGGAAAGTAAGAGAGGCCGAGGCAGGAGGGAAAGCCAAGTCAAAACAGGGAGATGAACAGAAAGGCACACCTCACAGGAACACAGAAAGCTGTGGATTTTAGATTTCTCCCACCCAGGATCTGTGTGTGTTTGTGTGTGTGTCATGGACACTAAATTTATTTGCTGATTTTACCCACTGGAGGTTTTTAAGCTCTAAACTAGAGCTGCTTTCCCAGTCATTTTGACCAAACAGGTTTGGCTGACTGTTTTCCGAGGAAGCATCCAGAACTAAGAGTATGTCCCTTCCAGTCAAAATAGGCTCCTAAATAGGTTTCTAGTGACTCATGGCTGAACTGTGAACTCTGTGCAGCTTAGAGCTGACCTGATGAAAACGGCTTGCCAAAAATGGACAACAAGACGCTGCCCGAGCAGCAGAAAGCCAACGTTTTGCACAAGACTGCACACGACAAGGCAGCGCCGTGTACGCCTCACGATAATTAAGGCACACAGTAGCTTCTCCTCCACTGTGATTTCCCCACAGCTTCCTCCCACTTCTGCAGCTGCTTCGCCCTTGATTCCTTATTGCATTACGCTGAACAGTCATAGAGTAAATTTTTTCTTTCCTTTTTGAAGACCACAAAGCATGCCTCACCCCTTGGGGAGCACTGATCACGCAGAGACGCGGGCTAGGAACATCCGCGGAAGTAACAAGGTTGGGGGAGTCCATCTCAGTCCATTCAATCCTGATCTGTTGCCTTAACGTAAGTTCAGGTGGCAAAGAAATGGTGGTTACGAAGGCCGCATCTGGAGGTTCCCCAGAGCCATGCTCTCCTCCTCCGCCTCCCCATGCTCTTGTCTTGCGCGTTGGCTTTGAAGAGCCTGGCTTAAGGTCTGGCTTAGCCAAAGCAGCACATGCACACTAGGTTTGCATTTCTCGGCCTCTTCACGTATGCAATCAACGAAGGGCTGGGTGGTGCCGTGGCATAACTGCAGCACAGCAGACTCTCACCTTTCCATGTGGCTTCGGTTCCAGCTTGTCTTGGTTTAAAATTAAATACCAGATTTTCATCAATTAAAAAAAAAAAATCACAAAAAGGCTGGAATACGTAATCTCATTTGGGGGATGATGCCACGAGGAGGCCGCACACACTTCCACGAGCGAGGAATCGTGAGTGCGCAGCGCTGCTCTGGGCAGACAAGCCCTGTGCATGCTTCCAGCACAAGGCTTCTGTGCCCGGAACAGGTCCCGCAAACCCGCAGCCTCAATGGCCTCGATCCAGACTTGTCATACTTAGAGTAAACCCATTAAAATCTATGGGGCTTGGGTTGGCTGACGTTTGTTTGTTTGGAGTTTTTATATGCTGTCCCATCGCTTAACGCCTCGGGACGGCTTACATAAATAAACATAAATAGACAACACAGCGCCCAATACAAATACAAAAAATATAAATTACACAAATTAAAACCCCCAATTCATTCTGGCTGGAAATTAAAACCTATAGAGAATATTAAACGTTGTTTAAATATTGTTTAAATAAAAAAGGTCTTAGCCTGGCACCGAGAAACAAATAACGACGGCGCCAGGCGGACCTCTCTTTTACAATGTCCGAGTCCGCAGTAAGATTTAGAGAGCCAACCGCGAGCGGCAGCACGGGTCCCTGAAAGCGAGACTGCAGCAAGGCCGGCCTTAGCCCAGAACTGGCCTCCCACGCTTCCAAAATGGGCTGGAAAGGATGTTGCCACAGTGTGACGTGCTTCTCCACATCGCCACAGGCAGCAGTCATGAGACACTGGCCCACACAAGACACTCGGCGCCAGTGGGAAGAGAGGTTCTGTGAAGAGACTCCTGCCACACCCAAAGAGGGCCTTTCTCTTCAGAAGGCCCTTCGAACTCCCCGGCCTCTCCGTACTTCTGGAAAATGGTTCAGATGCCCTTTTCAGGAGGTTGTTGTCCAAAGTGCAATGATTTATTGTTGCCACAGATGATTAATGTTGGATCCGACCCTGTTCTTGTTATCTTACGGACACGGTTTGATCGTGGCTGTTAGCCAACTTGAAGATCCCTTTTGTAGGGATGGTACAGTGGAGGTTCAAATGTTATGATAAAGATTTAGTTACTCCAAAATGTCAACTCAGTCAAGCGACAGAGAGAGGCCACTTGGAAAGCTTGTATGCAGCACTCTAAGCTCCGCTGTGAAAGAAAGGTGGAATAAAAAGGTACCAAAGTTCCTGACTGAAGCGGAATTACAACTAGCTTCCCTGGTAAAAAAAAAAAAACCACCTTCAAGTGATCAGGGAGAAGAGCTTCGGAGAAAGTCGGCTCTTTGCCAGACTTTCAGACAATTTAAATAGGACAAATGAATAAGAATGGGACTTGGTGGATTAGTACTTTTTTCCGTGGAAATTCTTCTGGAGTTATTTGCCGCCATATGCACAGTCACAGGGGAATAAGGTCCATTGATTTTAGTAGGAATAACTTCCGAGGAGACACAGATAAGATTGCATGATGCATCTCTGAAGATGCTGGTGACATGTTATGGAGGG